GTCAAAGATATCTTACTCCATACTCTCTTTATGTACACCCTTACGAATATTAAGTATAGTGACTTCATAATGCTTATTTTTCAATAATGGACTATGATGAAGCAAAAAATCAAAAGCTACTTAGGATCTAATATTTCTAACCAAGGTAAACTTAGGAGAAAATTTATGTTGTAAAAGATTCATTGTTAAATCTACTTTTATCTCTCTTTATGGAAATATGATAAGGTAAGTAATTAGAGTACTATTTATTATTTTTTTGGATATTTATTTTTTTTATTCTCTTTTATTTCTTTTTTAGATATAAAAATCTTATTTTATCAATCTAATTTTTTTTTATTTGAATATTTTTACATTTATGCACATGTATTTTTTATTTTTTACATACATTATCTAAGATACATTATTATAGATTCAAAGCCCAAAGCATTTATTTTTGTCTAAATCATCCATAATTTTTTGACTTTGGATGGTATTTTAGTAGCAAAAATTACTTGCTACTACCAAAAAGATTTCAAAGGATCTTATTTGCTTGAATAGAAGTCAACTCATAAATAAGAAAAGTAACTTAGTCCTATGATATTTATACTAGTGAGTATTTCTAAAATCTACAAATTCAATCACTCAAATCAATATTTTTTTATACTATTAATTTAAATCAAATTTTTTTTTGATAAATTTGTTTGAGAATTGGTTGCAATTTAGTTTTTCTAAGCTTAAAGATTACTAAATTTTTTTTAAATAATTCTTTCGAATTCTGTAAAATAAGTCAAAAGTTTTGAATGTAAGTTCTAATAAGAAACATTCATATCAAAGAGCATTTTTAATATAACACCACAAAACCACTTCATTTTAATTATTTATTTATTTATTTTAACTTAGAATTTTGTAACTTAAATTATTTTTACAATTTTATCAAAGGTAGCTTTAACCTTATTTTTATTTCTTTTAATATTTATCTTAGTTTATTTTTACTAATAGGATAAATATGTATATAGATGCAATAAATTTATTTGAACTCCAATTTAATATGTATAAATTTATATTTATTTCAAATTTGAGTTTTTTATAATCTTATGCAATGCTTTAAATAAAATTTTATCAATATCCTAGTAGATTTTATTTTTAAATTTTGTGAAAGGGGTCCACTTGAATTAAAAGATAATCACTCATGCAAAATGCAGCCCCTATTTTCTTTACCATTTAGGTAATATTTTTATCATTCTATCTTTAAATACATTTAGGATGTTTGATTTTTTAAAAATGAAGTGCTTTGATTAGTTGAACTTCTTATTATAATTAGTCATATGCATAATAAGAGTGCCACAGCTTCTCCAAAGCCAATTAGACTTAATTTTTCTTTGTTTGTAACTATACAAAAAAAAAATATAAAACTTTGGTTTCAATAAGTCTCTAAGTGCTATTCTAAATGATGTTCTTCACAATTTCCATCCATCAATTTACAAATATCTTTCACCAATCTTATGCAAATAAAAGTGAAGAAATATAATAAAGATAACAAGACATTATTTGCTATTGTGGTTCTTTGAGCAACGTTAAATCTTTTAGATTACTGACAATAAGGATTCTTTTGTAAATGATAAAAAGAATCAGTCTGAATAATTCTTTTTTGTTTCCCAAAGTCCAATCAAAATAGTTAGTCTAGCACCAATTAGTTTACTTTTTATGTTGCAAAGAAGTTGTTAAGTTAGAGACTTGAGTAAATCTATGCAATATGCAAACCACATTCATAATTTTACAACCAAATAGGTTAACTTCGGCTACTCTTGACGGTATTGTTTGGGTATATGTAGATACGTACTTCTTTGTAAGTTTCCGTTCTTATTGTGTGTTGAGTTTCTCAAAATGATGAGTTCATAATCGCATAGTTCTTTTTTTAAGATTCTAGTATGAGATGTACTGATGAGATCATGACAGAGCGGAGACACTCAATAAAAAAATTCTGAAACATTTATTACAAAGATATTCAAGAGTTGATAACTTTCAGATGTGTCAATTTTCAAGCGTGTGAATTATGTCAGATTTAGGTGATTATGGTCATGTTGCACCGCCATGACTTCTATGCTAAAAGGTTCAAAGGAGCCCACAGACATATTGAATTCTCCCCTCTGATTCTGCTTCATGGAGAAAATTTCATCGTTACCACCACTTCCAGAGTAGATAACCATCATCTGCTGTTGACATTTACATCCATTTCATCGTCCACACAACAAATGCTGCATACACTCTAAGTTCCTGGACAATGCCAGTTTCAAATAGAGACATTTCGCAGAAAGGAAACCTGGTTGAACAGGGACGATACAATATCGCAACACAAAGAACAATACAACATAATCACCGGGAATCCTGTCAAGTAAAAAATGATTCACATTACATTCTTGACGCATAACTGCATCTCCAACAAGGGTTATTCAGCAAGTAACTTCGACCTCCATTCCATTTTCCAACTCGATCGCGCCCAGACGATGGTGCCGGGGAGCAGACTGGCACAGCGGCGGCAACCGACACTGCGATTCGCGGCACTCAAAACAACATTCCTCGTCATGCGTAATCCACGCCAATCACCCCGACCGATGGGGTCCTGTCCCAGCACCTACACAACCCACCATCTACACCTCCGCCTCCGGGATGCGCCACACCCATGTCTCCACACCACACACTCCGCATCGTACAGAACAAGAATATTGACTTCATTTAAATTACATTGCCTGCTTACAGTTTCATACTCTCATCTTCCGACTACAATCAACATCCTACTTCACTTCGAAAACGTGTCGAAGATTGTGGTGTGCAGGGGGTCCGCCAGGTGAGTGGCCCAGTTGTCCAGGGGTCCCTTGCCCGTGGCAGCGGCCTGCGCTGCGAAACCCAAAGCGGCAACCATCGCCAGCCTCGCGTGCTTGATTTCGGCTAATTTCAATGTCTCCTTCTTGTCCTCCGTGTCCGCGAAGTTCAGTGGGTCGAAGAACTTCCCGCCCGGATAAAGACGCTTCTCGGGGTCCAGCTCCGCGTTCCTCTGGAACTCGATGAATCCCACCAAAAATGCCTCGATGTAAACCAGGCTGGTGATGCTGAACGGCAGGGGCAGCCCGAAGTATGAAGCACCGTCCACCAACTCAACCTGTACTCCCATTGCAACCGACCCGCGTCAGCCACATACCCATTGCTCGTGCATTCCGACCCACCAAATCCCTCATCACTCATCACCCACCGAACACGCCAGACAACATTCTTCATGAGTCCAACCACAACTCCGGACGTACCCGCTCAATCATTTACAAACAATGCGTCGGCGACAGGCACCGTCACGCTAGGGCTCCTAATCGGGATCCTCACGGCCTTCGACTCACACCTTCTCGCACGGCTAGCAAACCAAGCCGGTGCTCGTAATCAAACAGGGGCACTCTCCCACTCACCGACACCAACACCAACAATTCTCGACTTACAACACAATGAGAAGCCCTACCTTGCCGGCATCTTGCCATGTCACGCCCGTGAACGCCTCCACGGACAGGGCCCCCAATATGGCAAGCATGGCCCAGCGCCCGTGGATCAGCTCGCATTCCCTGAACCTCTGCAGGCCGAACACCTCGCTGTACGGCTGGAACGGGGTTGGGGCGATCTCCTCCTTCTTCGAGATGCGGGTTCCGATCACATCTCCGGCCTCGTTCTTGGCCAGGTTCTGGTTCAGCGAGTCCAGCTCAATCTGCAGGTACTCCGGGCTCTTGCCCAGGCTCAAGGGGTCGAATCCGTAGTCTCCGGGGAGGGATCCGTCCAGCCACTCGGGCGCCTGCGCGCCGGGGAACCACAGCGGCCTGCCAGCGCCGGAGCCCGAAGCCTTCTTCACCGCCTTGGACGCGGCCTTGGCAGCCTGCTTGGCCTTGCCCGGCACCGAGAACCTGGCCACCACGCGCGACCCATTCTGCACGCCCAGTCGCTCCACGGACCTCACGAACGACGACGACGCGATGCTCGCGCACCTCACTGCCTGCGCCATCGCTGCGATCTGGATTGATTCTTGCGATCACTCTCTTGATGTTGGACAAGATGTCGATATTCGTGTCTAACAGACACACTCTGCAAGCTAATTCTTGCTACTCTTGTTCTACATTGGCGTTCCCCGAGAACGTACTTTGAGGGTTAGGCCAGGATGCTATGTTTGTACAATAGGATATCTTGCTTTCTTCCGTGAGTGGCCGAAAGAGGCTTGCGATCATTCGCAGAGCCTCAGCAGTCTCCGATCCCAGAATCTGGATGAAAGGCATCCGATTAGCGGAGGTGGAAGGATCGAGTTTTCAAAGGTGGTGATTGGCTGGGTCTGGCCACTGGTCAAATCCTTGTTGGCCACATATCGTGTTATCCGCACAAATTTACCTGGTAAATTTTAGCAGATTCAACTATCCGACTCAGCCAATATGGAATTCGGCAGATGGTTTCCATTATATAATTGCAAATATGGTTGGATTAGTAACATATGGAACCTTGAGGGAATATGGGGCAACGGTGGGAAAGGTAGTTTTCTAGATCAGGTCTAAGAAATACTGACAATGTCCGTTGATGAGACCAGTATGCTACATTCGGAAGTCAGGTTATGTTTCTCCTCTATGTATCATAGAAGTCAAATGTTCGTATTGGTTTGAAGTCGTCATGTTTTCGTGGCTCACTGCTATCTTCGCATGTGTGGTGAGATTCTCTTCGAATCTTGATATGTGATGTTAGCGGGAGTCAGGATGGTCTCTGGCAGCTTGCCTGATGATCATAAACATGCAACTTGTCATAAGGCCTTTGGAAGTAATTCATTTGCAAGCAATTATAGCGTGAAATTTTTTGACTGCTTGAGATATCTTACTTCAATGATGCTCTGTTCTCTTTCACAGAATTTAGTATTGAATATCGTTCATCTCTGTCAGTGATTACAGTGTTTGATAGAGAAAAGAATTGGAGTGAATCCCCACGGTGAAGAATCGTTCATTTCAAAGCGGTTCTGAAGATTTTTGATGGAAATGCATTGATAACGATGCTTTTTATGTGATTCTTGATTGAAGGTGCTAACTCACACATCTGATGGTAGAGGAACCAATTACGTCTTCATCATGATGAATATTTTTGTTTTCACCGATTCTACGTGAAATCCTTTCAGAAAGTTTGGAACGTCGTAGAGTCGTATGCTAAGCTCGAAAGTCGTGATTTAGCCATCGTACGCTTCAAAGGTGCACAAATGAACCCAGTGTCTACAACGATTCTGTCCTTACTTCCGGCTGCTCAGATGATTCTGCTGGTGACAATCTTTCTGCAGGTTGTGGAAGCGTACTATCGAGAAGATAAGCAGTGTCTGTTTCGAGAATCTCTACTGCGTACGGAGCTCCTGTTCCTGCACGCAAAGCAGACATGATGCTGTAAGACATGCTGGATTGAAATTTCACCAATCAAGGCTTCAACGACGAGAAAGTACAACGTTACCCGAGGAGTGCCATAAGTAAGATGAACGAACCAGGTGGTAACAGATTACGATGCAAAAATTCAAGAGAGAGTCTGCTGTTGATATCTTTGACGAGCGACGCATCTACCGTACCCGACAATCTGCAAGCAAGAGACAAGCTTCAGAAAGCTACCAAAACTCATAAGAGGGTCTATTTTCTCCCCCACAGAAAATCTAATCTACAGGTAGGTGGAACACTTTGTGTAGCAAGGACCCTAAGGTGATGAATCATTGTAGATTTAATCCTCTTTGTTTAGCGATTTATGCGGAGGGGCTGCGAGACGTACTTTGCTGCTTTGAAGATCCTTGGCCACATCACGGGAAAGTCGCTCTGATCCATATGACGCGCACCCTTGATCGTGAACAGTTCTGTCACCAGAGGCTGCTCATCACGCCGCGCATCGGCTCGTGCTTTAAGAAAAAGGGTGCGCAAGCGACGTAGATCATTCCACTCAAAGAGCTCCGTATTGACGAGAAGCAATGGAACCTTGCCAGCCACTCTGTCAAAGTCGAGCTGAAGCCACAGCAACGAAATATAACTCGTGAGTTATTGCATCAACGCAAAGAATTCAGCACCTTAAAACGATTGACTTCTTGCCATTTGTGCAACATGCTTGCATTCAATGTCGTAAAGTGTGTAAATTACCTGCTCTATAGGTTGCCACCACGCATCTTCAGCGATGCAGCATTTGAGTCTCTTGTCCAGCCCGCAAGCGACTATGGCGGTGGAGCCTCCAAATGAATGCCCTCGAATGGCCAAGTGCGACATGTCCATGCGTCCCCGAATCTTTCTCAGATCCAAGGCCGTTTTTCCTTTCACTGCATTGGCTTTCTGTGTGAGAAGCCCGCTTGTGAGCATCTCCAACACATCGACCACCTTGCGGACCTCGTCTGTTCGCTGCACTTCATCCCAGCAACATCCTGCTAAGTTCATGGAAGCTTGCACTCAAAGTATTGCTGAACATGAGTCGAGGAATTCACGGCAACTTAAACAGGTTGACATGTGAATCTTTATCCCGAGGTTGTTACCTGCCTGAGTTGCTTGGAGCGGTCTGCAATTGGCGTATCGTCGAACGGCCGTTCCGCGAACGCATGAGTAATCCACTTGCTTTTGCCCTTCTCGTCTCTGTATTTAGCAGCAACCGCTGAGCCATCTAAATGCTCCACCGCTACAACAACTGCCATGACAACATATATGGCGATCAATTCTCTTAAATTCTGCACAAAAATTGATTCTCTCTCTCTCTCTCTCTCTCCCTCTCTCGCTCTCTGTGGCTCTTTCTGCTTAGAGGACAGAAGTAACATTGCAAGTATGATAGCTGCCCCTAGACGAACGGTTTGGAAAGGGAAAACAGTCCATGTGCTCACTGTAACCATGTGAAGCAATGTCGCAACAGGCAAGCGTATAGGTTGTGCGACAAGCCCACATGCCGTGGCAGAAAATCACCACGGGCAATCGACCATTCTTGTCCTCGCCTTCCGGAATCAAGACGGGCTTCGCCACCGAGCAGTGCAGCTGCAGCCACAAAATCAGATGCAGGAAGCCTGCCACTGCCAATGTCAGAAGTCTGTGACGACATTCCTAACGCACATTGCACAATTCAGACATGATCGCCGAGAGTTCTATGCATTCTGACAGATGCTTGCAGCATTTGAATTGATGGGTGGGCGTACGCACACGTGAGGACCCAAATGGCGAAGCGACGTAGGCAGGATGACGGTAGGATAATTTTGGAGAAGTAGCCCCATGTGTAGTTGAAATGCGGCAGCCAGCGCCGCGCCTGCGTGTCGGAGAGATGCCACTTGGGATCCTCACCTGTGGGATAGAAGAATCGCATTGGCGGCACATTGTCCAAATTGAGCTCGTTCTTTTCAGGATCTGAGGGATGAACAGCAACACTTTCTTCACCTATCCTTCGCCGCAGTTCGAAATCAGCAAATGAAACATGGTACGGACCCAGCGGTTTCGGCAGATGCATGGGGCGACCACCCATTTTCACCAGACACTGCACAAACTTCGAGCGCGGTGATTCAACATGTGCACCAGCGTGCTTGAAACTAGCTACTCCAACACCACGGCTGAGACCTCCCAAATGCAGCCGGCCGTCACATGTCCACTCACGGATTGATCCTCATTGCTTGCTCCTGCATCACCACTTTATCCACTAAAACCCTCAAAACTGGTGGCACAGGCGGACCTTCTAGAACCCAAGCACTCCCATTCCCATACTCGCATCACAGCAACTAGAATCAGAAAACAAAAACTACATTCCCACCGCGCCACTCGTAGGAGCATGCCAGGCTGCTGCTGTTCCGAAGCAGCGGCATTAATGTACTCCCGCAGGGAGCTACACTCATGAACAAGTAGTTGGAGCTTGCGAACAAGCTCTGGCAACGATGAGTTCCGCGACACTGCGGTGAAGTGTTCACACATTGTTAGACCAAGCAAACGAGACACTAGACTTAATTACCATATCACCTGTCACGTAGCAGACATTGGAGCGTACAGAGAACGTGCCTAGTCAGAAAGCGGGGAAATTCATTCCACTGTGATGAGCCAGACGACGCGACTTGGGAATTCAGAAGATCAAGATGGGGATGCTTGAGCGTGGTGCTCGAGTGGTGGTGCCCGAGGAGCAGGCCGTGGCGCGTGTGGCTACAGCCCTTTTCTGTCACCTTTTTCGTTGCGTTGAGAGATCTCTATCTCAAGCGGTGAAGCGGACTCATCTAGCCATCAAGTCGGAGGCAGTGCTCGATTCTCACACTACTAATACCACTACCACCTCCACAACCACCATTTCCAGTACTGCGATCAGCTACAATCGATCGTCGATAGCATCACCGAATGCCTCTATCTATCTATCTATCTATCGATCTTTCTGTATCTGTCCATATGATTACGACTGAGTGTTGAGTCCTTACCCTTTTCTTTTGTCTTCTGTTTACATGGATCAGTGGCTTTCACTGCTAATTGCAGCTCGTGACCACAGCTCACTTGTGGGTTATGCTGCATTGCATGATGAGAGAGGAGGCTTTGATGGTGGTGTTCAGGTCTACCAGAGTACATCATTCAGCTATTCCAAAGAAATTTGTTACTGTACCCTCCGTCTGCCATTTTTGGGTGACATCTGAACAACTTTGCATTTTTGTATGTGTGTGTGCATGTATATATATGTATGTATGTAAATAAATAAAGAGAGAAGCATTTTTTCATTAAAAGGGAGGCTACTCTATCTCTTCCAAGCTGCTGGCAACAACCTTGTCATTTTTGCCCTTAACTTCTGCCATAAACTATCAAATTCATATGTTGTTTTTTCTATGCATTTGTAGATTTGTTTTTAAGTGTGTATATGTATTTCCTTATCAATCAGACGTGGTAAAATGTTCGGTGTGACTACTCACAGTAATGTCTGTCTGTTTTATTGCACTCTTTCGCAAAGTTAAATTGAACTGCTATCACTCCATTTTAAATTATTGCTCTTTCATTTTATTCTTTATCTACTTTACATTTGGAACACAGAGGGTTTGTTAGTAATATTTTACAATAACTTTGAAAAATTATAATCAAGTTTGGATATTGTTTAGATTTCATTAGTTATCAATGGACATGTTTTTTGAACAAAAATAATCAAATGATGGTGGATTATTTCTATTTAGACATATTAATTTTATAAATTACAAAAAAACTGAACCTATCAACAAGGCCTTAATTAATATCTTGCAAAATATTGTGGTAAAAAGAACAAAAAATAAGAACCAACAACTATGCACAGTTTTTTCTACCTTCTACATAATATTTAAGATCTTAAATGGTTTAATTTTTTTAAATAATTTTTTAATCATGCTAATTCTAATTAAGTGTGATATTTTATATTTTATATAATTTTTAATAAATACTTAATGATAAAGAAAATTCTACCATATAAGGTAATATACATGCACATGCACATACATATACATATATATATATATATATATACATATATATATATATATTTATATATATATACATATATATATATATATATTTATATATATATACATATATACATATTAGGAATAAAATATATATATTTTTTCACATCATCATTATTTCTTGTAAAAATATCAAGCTAAAAAACTATATATTTAATTGAAATAATTATACAAAATCTAAAAATTTATATAAATTTATTAATTATTATAAATAATATTAAATTAATTATTATAATAGATTTGATTGTGCTTAATTTTTTAATTAATAATTAAATAAAAAATTAAAAAAAATTAAATTCCCTTTTTTTGAAAGAATTTTAATAAAGAAAATTGGTTTATAATGTTTTAAAGCATTGGATCAAAAATATAAAATTAACTATAATATAAATTATAAAAATATTTATTTAAATTTTATATATGTGTTAAAAAAATAGGTTTATATAATTTCTTTCATACATAATGTATATTTATCATGAATTTAATAATAAAAAACCATCATGAATCAAGAAAAGATTGAATTAATTATACATTAAGATCTTAAAAGGATTATGTATTTTTTTATTATAAATTTGTGAATGTTAAAGACATGAATTAAGACAAAAATTTATAGAATAAATATATTCTCGTATTAATAAAAAAGAAAAAGTAGACAAATAAGAGGTATTCATAAAATAGAAAAAAAACCTATAATGACTATAGTCAATTATAAAGAAGCTAGAGAATCTTAAACTGAGACTAAAAAATAAAAAATAAAAGGTATTAAAAAGACTAAAGATGGTCTTAGTCTTGCCTCTTTTTATACTACCTATTTAAAAAAAATTTGAAAGTTTTCTAAAAATTGTAAGACTTATGGCCTGAGCATCAAGTTCTAGATTGCTTTTAATATAATTTCTTAAAAATAAGAATTTTTTAGAATATGTTTTCAATTATTTCATGACATATTTATTTATTATACTACTAAGAATAAAAATTAATTTATTTTAACATGCATTCAACCTAAAATCTTAGAATATAATTTAGTTTAATCTTCAAAACATGTTCATATACAAGATAATCTAATTATTGGTTTTTAAAATTAAATTTACATATTTCTTATGTCATTGGAAAGATAATAAAAGTAACTATCTAAAAATATAACTTTTATTCTTTTTCTTTTATACTTTATTGGATGAAAACCTAGTAAACAAGTTGTGACTAAGTTTTAAAATATGTATTTGCTTATATATATATATATATATGTATATTTTTATTTGTTTTGTATTCATTCTTCTTTTGTTCTTATTAAATGCTTGATTCAATTTACACCACCAATTACAAGAAACTCTTAATTGATGCCATCTTGTAATTTAATTTGAAGGGTAAATTTTACCTTTACAGTCATTATAGATCATTTTATTAAGATAGCACATTTTTTATTATGTACAAATCTGTCATTAATAAAAATAAAAAATAACTAAATTATTTTTTGACAATATCTATTACTATTATAGATTAATCAAGGATATTATATTGCATGGAGGTACACTATTTGTATCAAGATTTTAGAAAATCCTTTTCAAAATTTTGAAGGTAGACATAAAACTATCTTTTATTTTCCATCCTCAAATTGATAGACAAACAAAACATGTGAATTACGTTTTAAAGCAGTATTTGAAATTAACCATCAACTACCATCAAAATGATAGGACAATTCTTTTTCCATTATTAAATTTTGCTTATAATAATATGATACATTTATCTATTTAATTTTTTTTTTTTCTAATTATGATTTTTATCAATAACTTGATATTTTTGACTTCTCAAAAATTAATGATATTATAGCAAAAGATTTGGCAAATTTCTTATTAGAGCTACACGTAGCTATAAAGACACAACTAAAAAAAGCTCAAGAATAATAAAAAATAAATATTAATGCTTATTGTAAGAAACACCCTCAATTCTACATGGATAATAAGATATGATTATTTTGTTACAATATCAAGATTATTTATTTTAATAATAAGTTGGATTATTGTAGATTAAGATTTTTTTTATTTGTGAACAAATCAATCTAATTGCTTCTTAATTATAGCTAAAAAAATCTATGAAGATCCATCTCATATTTCATGTTTCTCTTGTTGAACCATACAAGACAATAGATACATTAGGAAGAAAATAAATGCTACCATGTCCTATAGAAGTGGATAATAATCAAGAATATGAAATCAAAGAAGTCTTAAATTCAAGGTAATGCCAAAATAGGTTGCAATATCTTGTTCATTGGCATAGATATGATACAAATGAATGCACATGAAAGCGAACTAAGAATCTTGCAAATGTAGCAAAGAAAGTTGAAGCTTTTCATCAATGACATTGATCAAATTCAAGATGAAAAATACAAATCTTTGCTATAAAAGAAAAAATGTTCAAAAAAGATTGTATTCTATATTCTATGATTGTTTATAATTTTTATGTATTTGTGGTACTAAAAAAATAGAGAATAAAAAACCAATAGATTCAACTCAAGAGCTATTATTTGCTGAATTATCAAAAAAGACATTACAATTGTCATAACCTTCAAGATGATGTAACAAAGATGAAGATCCTAAAAAGTAATACTTTTTTTTGTAAATAGACGTTGAAATAGAATAAGTTTGGTATCATAAGCTTAGAAGAAACTCTTAATATTTGGTGATTTTATTAGAAGTAGAAACTTGCCATAACTTTATTTTAAATATTTTATTTGAAAGAAGTTATAAATGCTTGAATAATAATTATATAATAAGGTGGTCTTCTTACATTGATATAGAATACTATTGAAGAATAAAAGGATCTATCAACCACCTTCAAAATAAAAAAAGATCAAAATATGTGGAAAATATAATTTGTTGAATCTTGGACTTCCTCAATATTTGATTACTGCTCATTGTGGAACTTGTTATTATGATATAACATAACAAATAAGTAAAAAATATGAAGAAATTATTATATTATAGAAGATCTTATTTCAAATATTGTAGCAAATTATCTTAGAAGATAGACAATAGTCTAAAATAAAGTAGGACTAAAAGTGTAAATGCTACTTTTCTATAAAGTAGGCTTCTACTTACTTTGTAAGACCATAAATAAGCAAAAATAAGATAGATTAGAAAAATAATTATATTTATATATGTAGAAAGAAGTTAGAAGTTGATTTGAATAAAAATTAATTCAAAAAGGCAAAGTTTAATATCCAAAGAAGACTCATTATCAACCTGGATCAAAATCAGACCTCAAGACACAAAATTGAGCATCTACAATAATTTCAAGGTTTTTTGGTAAATTGGAGAGTGAAATTTGAAAGGAGACTTGATAGGATTTCTTTGAATATTGATTTTGAGTGATTTGAGTATATAATGATTTTGTAAGAGCTTTGCAAAGTCACAATTGTTTTGAGTGATTTTGGAATTTATGAAATAAAAATGATATTACATTTT